TGGACAGCAGCATTTCAGTAGCATTCGAGCTTACCCACATCCGTTCGGAGCTCGATTTAGGCTACCCACACCTTGGTGAGCTAGATCTAGGTTACCCATACCTATACGAAGTCGATTTTGTGGTAATGAGTCATTTGAACCCTCTTAGAATTAATTTCGAAGGTTGAAACGTATATGTAACTTGCTGTTTTTTTTTCTGTTTTAGTGCCTAGGTGTGAGATCGACGCAAAACTTAAGGGCGCGGTTGTGTGTAAGTAGACAAGGGGCGTGTGCGTGCGTTGATGTGTGCTGGTTGATTTCTAATGTGATGTCTTGTGATGTTTAATACTGATTTTGATACGCTATTGAGCTAGGTAACTCTCGTTTGTGTTAATCTGTATATTTGGTGTAGTGTGGAATATTTGTCGGTGATAATGGTGTAATTTTTGCCTTGCTAAACTGCTGAGAATTGTTGTGGGATGATGTGTGTTTACAAAGTACGCACGTTATAATAGAATTATGGTGATTATGCTTTCTTATGATGTGAGCGTGCTTGAATAGTTTATATAAATGTTTCTTTGTAATGCGAGTGTGCTAGTCTGAGTCATATTATCTTCTTATGAGTTGTGAGTGTTATTGAAGCATATATTCGGACCTTGTTCGCAGGCTAGGGGTTGATGTGAAGTTGGTCATGACAGGGAACGTTGGATTCTTGGGGAAAGTGAATGGGTGAGTGTCAGGGCCTCGGGTATAAATGGTCGGGGGCTGATACGTCACTGATTGAGTATCGAGGCCTCGGGTAAAAATGGTCGAGGGTCGATGCGAGGAGTCTTTTGGAAGGAAAACTATTGGGGGCTTGGGTAAAAATGGTCAAGGGTCGATAGATGATGAAGTCATCGGGGCCTTGGGTAAAAATGGTCGAGGGCCGATGCAGTAGTGTCGGGGCTCTGGGTAAAAATGGTCAGGGGCCGACTCTACTTGAAGGAGTTAGCTGTGGAAGGCTAGGATAGCTGTGATAAGCGTAGAGGTGCTTGAGATGTTAGGGAGACTCGAGGTTGGTAACTAATTTGTTCATGGTTGTGGTTGTCACCGAATCTTATAGAGTGTGTCTATGTTTGATTGCATAATGTGATGAAGAGCATGACTATGAATGTTTCATGATTTTGTTGAGCATGATGTTTGTGTGTTGTTGGTGAGGGCTACTTACGGAGTATATTTTATATACTTACCCCCCCTCTACAATTATTGTTTCAGGTGAAGGATTCGTTGGCGACCATGGTGATGAGACGGAGGAGACATGACGAGCGAGGACCATAGGCTCCATAGTTACTTTTGCTTAGCTTAAATTTAGATGGTTAAGACCTTATGCTTTGGTCAATAAACTATTTGTTCTTATTTGAATAACTGGGAGGTTCCCACTCGTTGTTTACTTTATTTCGGGATAGGTGTTTATTTTAGTTTTCCGCCATTCATTGAGTTTGCCTAGTTGGGATAATAAAGTTGCCTCATGAGGTTGTCCACGAATGATGTTTGCTTGATATTCTATAGAGTTGATTCATTGTTAAATTGATGAGAGGTGAAGCTTTATTTTATATAATTATTTCACAGGGAGTCGTCATCTCGTGTTTGGGGTTAAGTTTAGACATGTGGGTAGTTAACGTGACCTAGGAGTGTGTGGGAAGTCCTGAGGCGTTACAGTTTGCATGGTTCAATACCAAGGTGAATGAAGAAAGTATTTATAGTAAGTGGGAGAAGGATGTGTGACAACACATCCTACGATCTCTTCCATTGGTTTGCGACGTGAGGTTTCATACATGGCCTGCGTGTCGTCCTGGAGCGACCACCCCTACGGAGGGTCTGTTGTATGGAATCAAAATCAGGACGAACTCTAGAAATGGATAAGGTCTATTAGGTTTTGTACCAATATTTGTCCTTCCCTACAGCAGGCTTATTGGGGCGGACCTCTAGGGTTTAAAAATGGCGATTCACATCGGACCTCTAGGGTTTAAAAATGGCGAGTCACACTTACGAGAAATTGTTAAGTTAGTTAATAACTTCTTGACCAAACAAACGGTGACTAACTGTTATAGAAATAAGAGTTATTCTGGTGCAATATTTAGTTGAGAATGTCTCAATTCAGTGAAGGAGTAGCTAACTGCCCCACGATAGCTGTTGCTCTAAATCACTGAAGCATCGTCGCAAAAAATAATCTTGATTGATAGGGTACATTATTACTTTTTCATAAAACTGATTGGGTTTTTAATGGGTAGCACAAGTGTCTAATATAGATTTGTTTGTATTTCAGTATGTCTACTTCCGTTATTGCCCTACTTGTCACTGAAAAAACTTAACGGCGAAAATTACACACAATGAAAAACGAACCTTAACACAATACTCGTGGTAGTAGATGATCTTAGGTTTGTCTTAACTGAGGAGTGTCCTCAGGCTCCCTTGCCTAATGCAGCCCGAGCAAGTCGGGATGCCTATGATAGGTGGATCAAGGCCAATGATAAGGCTAAGGTCTACATCTTAGCGAGCATATCTGATGTGCTAGCCAAGAAGCACGAGAACATGGTCAACGCACAGGAGATCATGGACTCGTTACGGGACATGTTTGGACAGCCGTCCATTCAAGCCCGACACGAAGCCCTCAAGTTCATTTACAATTCCCGCATGAAAGAAGGAACATCAATGCAAGAACATGTTCTCAATCTGATGGTCCACTTTAATGTGGCTGAAATGAATGGGGCTGTCATAGACGAGGGAAGCCAGGTCAGCTTTATCTTGGAATCTCTTTCGAAGAGTTTCTTACAGTTTCGTAGCAATGCTGTGATGAACAAGATAGAGTACAACCTTACCATGCTCTTGTATGAGCTACAGATTTTTTAGTTTCTTATGAAATAAGGGACAAGAAGGGGAGGCAAACGTTGCTACCTCAAATCGGTTCCATCGAGGTTCGACCTCAGGAACAAAATTTATGCCTTCTTTTAGAAGTATGACTTTCAAGAAGAAGAAAAATGGTAAGGGTATCAAAGCTAGCCCTACTACTGTTGCTGCCAAGAAGGGCAAGGCCAAAGTTGCAAACAAATGAAAATGTTTCTATTGCAACGTTGATGGGCACTGGAAGAGAAACTGCCCAAAATAATTGACCAAAAAGAAGAAAGCCAAAGAAGGTAAATATGATTTACTTGTTCTTGAAACTTGCTTAGTGGAGAATGATGATTCTGCCTGAATACTGGATTCAGGGGCCACTAACCATGTTTGTTCTTCTTTTCAGGGAATTAGTTCCTCGAGGAAGCTTGATGTTGAGGAGATGACTCTCAAAGTTGGAACAGGAGATGTCGTCTCAGCAGTCGCAGTGGGAGACCTAAAGTTGTTTTTAGACAAGAGTACATATATATTATTAGATAATGTGTATGTAGTTCCGAAAATAAAGAGGAATTTGATTTCAATTTCTTGTCTACTAGAACAATGTTATGCTATTTCTTTTTCATTAAATGAAGTGTTCATTTCACGAAATGGTGTTAACATTTGTTCTACAAAACTTGAAAACAGCTTATACGCGTTAAGACCAACCATAACTACAGCAATGTTAAATACAAAGTTGTTTAAAAATTTTAAAACTCAACATAAAAGACAAAGAACTTCTCCTAAAGAAAATACTTATCTTTGGTACCTAACATTAGATCACATAAATCTCAATAGGATTGAGAGATTGGTTAAGAATGGACTTCTAAGCGAGTTAGAAGACGACTCCTTACCTCCATGTGAATCTTGTCTTGAAGGCAAGATGACTAAAAGACCTTTTACTGGAAAAGGTTACAGAGCCAAATATCCCTTGGAGCTTGTACATTCAGACCTTTATGGTTCGATGAATGTTAAAGCAAGGGGAGGATATGAATATTTCATCTCTTTCATAGATGATTATTCAAGGTATGGATATCTCTACCTAATGCAACATAACTCTGAAGCCCTTGAAAAGTTTAACGAGTACAAGACTGAAGTTGAGAACCAATTAGGTAAGACGATAAAGACACTTCGATCTGATCGAGGTGGAGAGTATATGGACTTAAGATTCAAGGACTATATGATAGAACATGGAATTACATCCCAACTCATCACCTGGTACACCTCAACAGAACGGTGTATCCGAAAGGAGAAATAGAACCTGTTAGACATGGTTCGATCTAGGATGATCTATGCTTAATTGCCTGCCTTATTTGGGGGTTATGCAGTGGAGACTGCTGTATACATTTTGAACGCAGTTCCATCAAAAAGTGTTTCTGAAACACCTTTTGAACTATGGAGAGGACGTAAATCTAGTTTACGTCACTTTAAAATTTTGGGATATCCAGCACATGTGTTAGTGACAAACTCGAAGAAGCTGGAATCTCGTTCAAAAGTGTGCCTATTCGTAGGTTACCCCAAAGAAACGAGAGGTGGACTCTTCTTCGACCCACAAGAAAACAAAGTGTTTGTATCGATAAACGCTACATTTTTGGAAGAAGACCATATTATAAATCATAAACCACGAAGCAAGGTTGTGTTAAATGAGATTTTCGATAAAGCTAAAAATACATCAACAAGAGTTGTTGATAAAGCTAGCACTTCAACAATAGTTGTTAATGGCGCTAGTACATCACGTCGGTCACATCCATCTCAAGAGTTGAAAGTGTCTCGACGTAGTGGGAGGATTGTGACACAACCTGATCATTACGTGGGTTTAACAGAAACCCAGGTCGTCATACCTAATGATGGTGTTGAGGATCCATTGACCTACAAAAAGGCAATGGAAGATGTTGATAAGGACAAATGGGTCAAAGCTATGGATCTTGAAATTGAGTCTATGTACTTCAATTTTATCTGGGACCTTGTAGATCAACCTGATGGGGTCAAACCTATAGGTTGTAAGTGGATCTACAAGAGAAAATGAGACGCTGAAGGAAAGGTACAGACCTTTAAGGCTAAACTTGTTGCAAAGGGTTACACCCAAAGGGAAGGGGTGAACTATGAGGAAACTTTCTCCCTAGTTGCCATGCTAAAGTCTATAAGAATACTCTTGTCCATTGCCACGTTTTATGACCATGAAATTTTGCAAATAGATGTCAATACTGCTTTTTTGAATGACAATCTTGAAGAGAGTATTTATATGTCTGAACCATAAGGGTTCATTAAGAAAGGTCAAGAGCAAAAGGTTTACAAGCTTAAACGATATATTTATGGATTAAAACATGCATCTCGATCTTGGAATATAAGATTTGATACTGCAATCAAGTCTTATGGTTTTGACCAGAATGTTGATGAGTCTTGTGTATACAAAAAGGTCATCAGCTTTCTTGGTGTTGTATGTGGATGATATCCTACCCATTGAGAATGATGTAAGTTTCCTAACTGATATTAAGAAGTGGCTAGCAACTGAATTCCAAATGAAAGATTCGGGAGACGCTCAGTTTGTTCTGGGTATTCAAATCATAAGGAATCGAAAGAACAAAATGCTAGTTCTGTCTCAAGCAACTTATATCGACAAAATGCTTGTCAGATATTTGATGCATAATTCCAAGAAAGTTTTACTACCTTTCAGACACGAAAGCTCTCTGTCTAAGGAACAATGTCTTAAGATACCTCAAGAAGTTGAGGATATGAGACGTATTCCCTATGCTTCAGCAATGGGCAGCCTGATGTATGCCATGTTGTGTACTAGGCCTGACATTTGCTATACAGTAGAGATTGTCAGTAGGTATCAATCCAATCCAGGATATGATCACTGACTACCATTAAAGATATCCTCAAGTATCTTAGGAGAATGAGCAACTATATGCTTTTGTATAGCGCTAAGGATTTGATCCTTATAAGATACACTGACTCTGACTTCCAAAATGATAAAGATTCAAGGAAATCCACTTCGGGATCAGTGTTCACTCTTAATGGAGGAGTTGTAGTATGGCGGAGCATCAAACAATGATGCATCGCAGACTCCACAATGGAGGTCGAATATGTTGCCGCTTGTGAAGCAACAAAAGAGGAGGTGTGGCTTAGAAAGTTCTTAACTGATTTGAAAGTTGTTCCAAACATGAATTTGCCCATCACACTTTATTGTGATAACAGTGGTGCAGTGGCAAATTCTAAAGAACCCCGAAGTCACAAAAGAGGCAAGCACATGTAGAGGAAGTATCACTTAATACGAGAAATAGTGCAACGAGGGGACGTGATCGTCACGAAGATCGCTTTGGAGCATAACATTGCTGATCCGTTTACAAAGGCTCTTACGGCTAAAGTGTTCGAGGGCCATCTAGATAGTCTAGGCCTACAAGATATATACAATATAGTTAAGGGCAAGTGGGAGACTTGTAAAGGGTATAGTGTATGCCCTAGTTTATTGTATTTGTACTTTATTATACAACCCACTGTTGCTTTTAGCTTTTGTACACCCCACTATAGTTTAGCTCAAGTGGGAGTTTGTTGGGTTTTATGCCCTAAACTCGTGGTTTGTAAACATAAAACAAATATTCATTCAATAAAGTTGTTATTGATAGAATTGCATTAACTCAAATCAAATAAACTAACATCCGAGGTTGTCATGTAACTAGAACAATATATAACAAATATACAGTATATATTTAATATACAGCGTATATATTTGATATACAGTGTATATATATAATATATATTTGATATACAGGTGGATAATGTTCTAGTAGTATCCTAAAGGGTCTATAGTATATGGATAAGGTTAGGTACCTTATCCTGGTAACACTATGGATACGGCCCACTTTGTAATAGTTACAAATGACTTGATCGAGGTCGTTCGTGTGGAGACATGCGAGTGGGGGTATCCCATACAATGAGTTTGTATAAGACAGGACCGCGAAATAATTAATCTTTAGCTATAATACTGTTAGCTAATAGATTAATTATTCAATAGGATGACCAAATAACTCAATCTCAACCCTCAGTGAGTTATGGACTCCTGCCTGTTAGGGCTCGTCCTTAGATTTATATGGGTGAGAGTGGCTCGAGTCGCCGACTCAATATGCCTACCATTTTGGGGACGAGACCGAGTGGGGAGCTGGGAACATAACTACACAACATGAAATTCACTCATTCCCGACTTCAGGGTAAGTAGATGAGTGTTCTCTTGAGTGCTAACTCCGGGACTTGAACAAGGGGCCCCACCCTCTCACTGGCCCGGGAGGAACTTCCGGTTATTAGTTGGACCATAACTGGGTTGTTTATTAGATAATCAGCGGTACTTAAGGTAGAAGATGTAACACAGGGGTAAAACGGTAATTTGACACAGCTGTAGTTACGAACACTCGTGAAGATTGACTTACCGTTAATGGTCAAAATCCATGGACACAAAATATTCTACAGTGAGAAGAGTGCAATTGTGGGTCTTTAGTGGAGCGACCGACAGTTAACGAATGTTGATTAATATGGTTAATGAGTTTAATTAATTAATCTCATATCGTTGAAGCTTCCGATCTATAAGTCCATTAGGTCCCCTTGCTAGCTCGTAAAGGATAGTTAAGAACATTTAATCTTGAAAAGAATTTGAATTGTTCAAATTTATTAACGGGAATTGAAGTTAATTGTACGAGATGCAATTAACATAATGTATATTGATACATTATAATATAAGGTTAATTTTTGAATTGGATTCAAAATGATGAGATAGATGTATATTGAAATTTGATTATATTACTTAATTTAAGTTTAATTTGATTAAATATAATTTAATTAAATTAATGGGATATGTTGATTAATTTAATTAAATAAGATTTAATTTAATTAATAATTTTTTTGTAATTAATTAAATCATATTTAATTAATTATTAATTTAATTAAAATAGTTTTATTTAAATTAAAATAAAAAGAAAAAGAAAAAATGGAAAGTGAAAGTGGGGAGGTGGAAGTGGGAAAACCTCCCCACTTTCATTTTGGGGTAGTGGTGAGTAACTTCCCCACCACTCTTCCTCCCTTATAAAATGGAGGCTCTCCCCTTCCGTTTTGGTCCCCAATTTCAAAGAAAATCTCTCTCGCTCTCTCCATTTCTCTTCCAATTATAAGACGGTTCCCACAAACCGAGTTCTTAATGTCCAGAGGATAGCAAGGAAAACTTTGTGGTGGCGTTGATATCTATATTGAAGAGATGTCTTCAAAGGTATGTATCACTGACTTCATTCTTACTCATGCTTATGTCTTTTCATTGTTGTAATTCTAAGACAAGATCGAAGCACAAGTGTTCCCGCACTTCCACTGCGGGATCCGATCCCTTCATGGATTTAGTCAAACAGTCGGATTTCGAAAAAAGTCAAATAGTAGACCTTGACCCGAGAAAGTCAAAGGTTGACTAAGAAGATTAAAATAATATTTTTAACCAAGTTGGTGGAAAATTCCACTAACTTGTTGAGTGGAACATTTAAATAATCTCAAAAAATCCACTTTTTAACACTTAACCATGGCATGCATGAGTGGAATGTGTGTTGTAAGCTTTTGGTGAACTTAGACATGCATTTTGGCATTTAGTCATGTCATGCATGAGTGGAGTATGTGTTGTAAGCTTTTGGTGAACTTTGACAAGCAAGAGTTGCATGTAATTTGCCTATCTAAAAGGCCTTTGTTCAAACATGAAAGCTCTTGGAACCTTTGGCCATTTGATGGTTTTGAAAAAGCGTACATAACTCGTTTTAGCTTCATATTTCTCTTAAATTTTCCTTCTTTAAAAATAGTCTCACCACTCTATTCCAAGCCTTGAGAATAGCTAGGAAGACCTCTTGGTGGTCCTCATTGGAGCTATTTGAAGAAATTTGAAAAGTTACAAAGGTAAGGTATGTAATTTTCTCTACCTTTCTCTAAGCATCATAATGTATGATCATGCATATTTAATTCTAGGTTGTAATATGCATCTAGATTGTTATTTTGATCATTGCTCGCTTCCACTACGCATGTATGATATTGTTCATCACCTTGTGTATACAAGAAGATCGTCAACAACACAATAGCCTTCTTAGTATTGTATGTGGATGATATCCTACTCATTGAGAATGATGTAGGATACTTCACTGACAAAAAGAAGTGGCTAGCTACTGAGTTCCAAATAAAGGATTTGAGAGAAGCTTAGTATGTTCTTGCCATCCAAATTTTAAGAGATCGCAAGAACAAAACGCTAGCCCTGTCTTAAGCAACTTATATCGATAAGATGCTTGTTCGATATTCGATGCAGAATTCCAAGAATGTGCCTTTCAGGCATGGGATTCATCTCTCTAAGGAACAATGTCCTAAAAYACCTCAAGAAGTTGAGGATATGAGACACATACCCTATGCTTCAGCAATGAGCAGCCTAATGTATGCTACGATGTACACTAGGCCTGACATTTGCAACGCAATAGAGATGGTCGGTAGATATCAATCAAACCTTGGATATGATCACTGGAATGTTGTTAATGTTGGGTGTGTTGTCCTAAACTCGTAGTTTGTATTTGTGTAAAAACAAATGTATATTCAATAAAGTTTTATTCAATAAATTTGTTGTTGAATTCATAGCATTGCATTATCCAAAATCCAATAAACTAAACATCCGAGGTTATTTTAGTGTAACCGGGACAGTATATGTACTGGGTATATATTTGATATACT